TTTTTTTTTTTTTTTTTTTTTTTTTTTTTTTTTTTTACGGGTTGTAATCTCCTACAACTATTCTAAATTCGTGAGATCCCACCTCAATTAAAGAGGGAAACGAAACATTTCTTATAATAGCGTGGAAACCTCTCTACCAGACGTGTATTAAAATCGTGAGGCTAAAATAGACAATATCTACTAGCGGGGTCTCAAGCTGTTATAAAAAATGTTGAAGCCAGACACAGGGCCATGGGCCAACAACGATGTTGATCCCCAAAGAGATAGAATGTGGGGTTAAAACGTATATCTATTATCTAGCAACCCCCACGACACGAGCTCACCATTGTGACAATGTGACCGACTGAAATAATTGGAAGAGAAAGATTTGGAGGGAACTTTTAGCAACTATGAAAAGTATTCTTTTTTTATTTTAATCCTAATTTTTTATTTTCAACCAATTACAAAAAAGAAACATAATGGGCCAGAAAAAGTAAAATGAAGATAGTTTGGGCTTCAAATAATAACAACTATTTTTGCTTCATTACAAACGGCCCATTTGAAATGACCCAATCAAGAATCAACCCATTTTTAATATCAAATTTTTAATATTTGTCCGATTATATTTCAAGCCTTCCTAGAATAAGTAATAAAACAATATTTTTTTATTAATAAATCCTAAAATTATTGTCACAAATACATATATAATCTTATCTCATGATTTTGAATTATTAAATCACAATTTCAAGAATAGATAAAATTACCATTTGATTGATCACAAATCCTTTAACGAATTAATTACATATTATGAAAGACAAAATGGATTAATCTTAATTTCTACTACAAAACTTAATTAAATGTGGGCCCCACTTGGGTGGGTCAAGCTTATTGCATAAGCCCAACTCATTGTTATAATAAAATAAATTTTAAAAAAAGATAATGCACTCTTAATAATTTCATCAAGAAAAAAGTCAAAAGTCAAAAGTCAAATCCTGTTGATTTCAACTTATTACTAATCTTTTAATTAATTAATTATTATTATTTTTTTTTTTTGTCTTTATATAAAACAAATAGTTTCCTGTCATTTCAACCCATTTGACAATCCATGTGCTCAAGATTTTGGCCTTTTTTAAAGCTTCAATTATTACTTTCCACACAAATATTTTTATGCATTTGGATCAAATTAATTGCAAATAATTCCATTATATATATATACATAAAAAAGAAATAATTATCCATTGTTAATAATTTTAACAAATAATTAAAAATTATAGGGATTAAAATGATT